CACAGTGCTGCCAGCCGAACTCTTAGGAGGTAGTAAACGTCAGAACATAGCAAAAAATGCAATGGATTACTTTCGATACCTATATGCCGAGGATGAAACTACATGGCTTGCAACTAGGAATAAAGAATACTATTATTTTTCGAAAAACAATTCATGCTATCACAGCGCTGAGACCCCAGGCCAGACGCCCATTGACCAGCTATGGCTCTATTGCGTAACGCGCTGATGACTCATTCACAACGGCGCCACGGATTTTCGATAGGGGGGGACGGGGACGGGGGCTTCACTGACCGAAAACCCCAAAAGTAGATATTTTTTCGAACTACTCCGCCACCCATGATCCCATGATCAGGTGACAATATTGATCGTGTATGCAAAAAAAAGCGAGGCACGTAACGCCGCGAAACTTGGCAAAGCCCAAAACACATCGAATGGTGCATCCCGTTTCCAAACTTATCCTAGGACACCTTAGATCGATCACTTTTTCAAGCATCCTTGCCTCTAAATCAAAATTTGCAGTCTTGTCAACTCAAAGCTGGTTTCCTACAAGCTGCGAATTGCTTAGGTATGAGTAGCAGTGCCAACTATTCTTATGTTTCGTACTTTCAAATTTGCGATCTTATGTCTGGTCAGCTTTATGGCTTCACCATCATACAGCCATGGCGGAAAAGTGTGAATGTCTTCTTCTCTGACAAGCGCGCCAAAACTGCAATATAATTTCAGAATCATGACATCACCACCTGATCCAAATGCAACAGGCAGGGTGCAGCTAATGGCTAGCCGTCAGTGGTCATGTCGTCGGTGGTCACTCAAAAGGTCATGTTAGGTCATGGAAGGTCACCAGCCGTTATTTGATCACACTTTTTGATGGATTTTATTTACCTAGAGCTTCGCGGGAAAAAGAGCGTATGCACCGTTAAAAGTTTAAATGAAAGGATCTCAGGTCCGGCGACGTCTGATGTCAGGTGAAATGCCCCAGGGTAGGATTCCGGTCCTTGTTGATTAACTTCGTCAAAAATGGCAGTAGAGCTGCGATGTAGGCACCATTGTGTTCGTCATGATCGAGCTGGCACGACCTGCATCGTCCTCATATTCACCCTCCAATCGTAACAACTACAGCAGGGATTGGCGAATGGCGGGCACCCACTTTGGGAGGTAATGAAGGTCTCTGGAAACCTCATCTCTCATCTCTTTAGCATTAGTGGCTCTCCTTATGGAACAGGTTTCTTGACTGTTTTACCCCAGAATTCAAAGACTATACTCTGTTCCGTTTCAAGTTTGCAGTCGAAGTGCCCTGCTGAAAGCAGTGCGTGATTTCTGTATATACAGCTCTTACGTTTTAAGACGCAAATTCTTGAGCGGAGGAGCGATCTGCCGAAGAAACTCCAACTGCAAGCTTGATATGGAACAGACTATAGTCAAGGTAAACGCACCACAGTGAGCACAATTTGATAAGCTGGTGTATCTCAATTTTCATGTAGAAAGTTTCATGTAACACGTACGTACTACGTATCTAAAACCCTTTCGTGCACTCATGCAAAAGCAACTGCCATGTTTCAACAGCTCGTAATGGCATTTTCATAGCCGCTGACGTAAGAAGGGGAGGGGGGCTCGATTAGACCCCCAGCCGTTCGGCCGGCGACCGAACTCAGTTTTGCAGAAAAAAAAAACCGAGTGCTAGGTATCCCCTTCACCAGAGGGAGCCGATGCTACCTAATTATAAGGTCTTGGGTTACTGCATGATTTTTTGGTCCTGCCTGTGATCTATCCGAACATTTCTCCCCACAAGTGCTGGGGTAAGATGTCATAGATTTGAAATGGCTTCTGTGGTAGAACTGCCATGCTTGAATTTGATTAATTGGGAATGGAAAATATCCATATAGTAACGGAAATCGAATTTCAGTAAACTTGGTTGTGTCGGCAGTGGGGTCTGGTAGTGAGGTGGGGGAGGTAATAACCCTGCCTGGCGCCCCAAAGAGGGGGGGGGGGGGCACGATCCCAGAGGGCCTGCCGATCACCTTATAACTACAGGCATCACAGCTCCACACCTTTTGCAGATGGCCAGGACCCCTTGCGATACATCCCAGCAGCAATATTTATTCAGAACCTGCCTTGATTAACCAACGATGCATTAAATGCGGCGGATAACTCTGCAATGCACTGTTATCAACTACTGAACGGGCCTCGCCGATAGGGGGGTTCTGTACCCCCCTAACTTTCGATAGCCGGGGACCTGTCCCCCCGTCCCCCCCGGTGGCGCCGCCCATGGGGACGTTGCTGCCCCTCTGGCGCGCCGTACAATGGTTTCACGCTGTCCGCCGTCCGGTGCTCGGTCCGGTCCGGTGCCGGCGCGTACTCACGACTCTCAGTGACTACAATACCGCCGTGTGCCGTACGGCGGGCGACTCTGCTGCGTGCGATATGACATCACGCAGTGCTGCCACACAGTACCGGACAGCGGAACTGAGCACTGAGCTGTGACCCAGGTCCGGCTGCCGCGCGGCCGTCAGCGCCGGGCGCGCTTCCTGGTGTCGGCCGCTGCAGCGACCATGTGGCGAGGGGAGGAGGGGGGGGGGGGGTGCAGTATGCACGTGACCTTGCAGTGGATTTGTTTGTTCGGAACGGAAGGAGAGCCGAATCCCATCTATGTAAATTGGTCTGTCAAGACTGACAGCTACCACGGGGACAAGGCAAACAGCGTGCCACTGCCTCCCTGACGCTATGTGACGTACCGGTACCGCGAACGCTGTGCCGCGGACTCGGAGTCGGACGCTGTGCCGCGGACTCGGACGCTGTAACTCTGTGACTCGGACGCTGTGACTCTGTGACTCGGAGCAGTAGCGGCGGAACACCCTCAATTAAGGGGGGGGGGGGGCACTGCCGACTTTTGGTCCCATTCTTTCCATGCAACGCCCACAGGGCTAGTGTTAAAATGCCAAAATCAAAGGGGGGCACGGTGCCCCGGTTCCGCCGCTTATGACTCGGACGCTGTGACTGTGACTCGGACGCTGTGACTCTGTGACTCGGGCTTCGACTCTGTGACGCTTTATGGAATAGTCACAGGGGTGAAGGATTCGAGTTTTTGAGGCTGCTAGATCACCCATTTATCCATTTTCAAAAAGGGCACCACGTAAATTGAATAAAATTCCATCAGCGCCGATACACCTTCGTCAGTAGCTCTGACAGTGGGTTGCGTACACACATGGCCGTTCAGACTTCAGATTTACCCAGCCGTTTGGCCTCTGACTGAGCCAGAGTTTCGCCGCAACGGGCTTGTTGGTCGTGGCGAGAGGAAGCCTGTGGTATCCGATTGTGGGACACAGGTCATGAGTTGAACTTTCAGTGCAATTCCATGACCAAAAATTCAAGAAAATCGGGGCCTAAGCCGTCTTTAATTTACTGTTTTTGTTTGTTTGTTTGTTTTTTTTTTTGGTGGGGACTTAGGGGAGAGTGGGGTAAGATGCCCAGGGTGGGAAAGACGCCCCACCCCCTCTAGCGGGGAAACAAAGAATCGAACCTGGAAATTAATGTTCTTAGCGTAAAGCGGAAGCCTGCCTTGTTAACTGCACAAAAATTTGCGAAGCTCAGTTGGGCAACGGCTGGCTGGTGATTGCATGTTTTTTATTTGCTGCTTTCAAAAAATATTTTGGCGTCAAAACATTGTAAACATCAAAGAAGGTAGATAATTTTTGCGTCCCTTGCTATAGTCGTGATACATTAACATGCGTGTACTGTGTCCCAAACAGTTTGTTTCAGGGTGTAGTTTTATGGCTAACAAATGGTGCTGATTTAATGTTATTTCGGTACCTTGGGGTAAGATGCCCCCTGTCCTGATGGGGAAAGACGCCCCCCTAAATCCGTAAGCTGTCCTTCAAGCAGCCCGTCAAATCATTTATTACATACTTGTGATGAGAGACAAAAGCCGATCTGGGACTATTGAGAGTCCAGTACGGTCGGGTGCTCCCCATGCCGGTCTTTCGGCCCACACAGCGACTTTTTGGGCGGCATCTGACTCTGAGAGCCCTCACGACGGCCTCTGTGGGCCCCATTATTGGTTCCAGGGCCCCTCACGACATCCTTTGAGGGCTCCCACGTTGGCTCCACGGGCCGCGCTGGCATCTGAGGTCCCCACGATGGGCTCGAGGGCCCTCAAGCATCATAAAGACCTATAAGGGCCCCACAGTGGTCTCCGAACGCCACCACGGAGGCTTGTTTGGCCACGCTGGACTATGATGGCCCTAACGATGACCTCTGAAGCCCCTTACTACTACTTTTGAGGGCCCTTACGATGACGCTTGGTGTCTACAGCAGGATCGAAGGGACTACTGATTCGTTCAGGCGATTTACGTGCCTATTTATGTCACTTATAGTGCAGGGGGCATCTTACCCAACGCCAGGGGGCGTCTTTCCCACCCTGTGGGGTAAGATGCCCCCTTTCACTTCTTCAGGAAAATGCTTAATAGCAAAAAAAGTTATCATATTTCAGGCACGAAAGTGTGATATTTTTGGAGAAAATGATGTCGGCTTCCGTTGAAACTCCAAGTTTTGGCTTTCCGATCGTCATTTTCGAATAATATATGACATAGTCAAACCCTGGGCATCTTTCCCCACTCTCCCCTACTTTAGGAATCTAATATCGAAATTTGACTTTGTGTTGTTTGAAAATGACACAATTGTACATTTAGGAATTGTTATTTCACTCGGACTGCAATATGTAAGGATAGGTCGGGTCAAAAAAGGTCGGGCCAATCATCAGGTGTTCTGCTGTTATCCTTCAGCGCGATATGTAACTATTACCTAAGGTCTACGCGGCTCACGGTGTGTGTATTACACGTAGGTGGCCGTTGCGACTCAGTGCCCCTGCAGGTATATATGCTGCCGCGGCTCAGCGTGTGTCTCACAGGTGTACGTGTACGTGTAGGTAGCCGTTGCGGCTCGCGGAGTGCACCGTTGCAGGTATATAGCCGCCGCGGCGGTCGGGGCCCGCCAGTGCTGCCCGGTACCGCGGAGGGCGGACACCAGTCACCAGCGTCACCATGGGGTGCGGACTGCGCTGGCCGCCGCTGGTGCTAGTGACGGCGCTGGGGCTGCTGCTGTGGGCCGCCAGCACAGAGGCGCTCGCACAAGGTGAGAAGAGAGCGCACGTGCGCGGGGAGACGCGCAGACCACGGGGATCAGTGCGCGGGGTGCGCGGGGTGCGTGGGACCGTGCGCGGGGTGTGTGGGACAGTGCGCGGGGTGCGCGGGGTGCGTGGAAACGTGCGCGGGGTGCGTGCAGGACGGTGTGTGGGACGGTGCGCGGGGTGCGTGGGACGGTGCGCCCAGGGAGGGGAGACGTGATGGAGGAGGTGCGATAACATAACAACGTAAACTTAGGACCGAACAGTGTAGCGCAGAATAAGCGAGGTATATACAGTTCCACTTTTCACAGGCAATCAGCTGCCTGGAGTGGTAGGCTGCGCCGCCTCATACAGGCTGTGTGACACAGTTCAATGCTGTGACCCAACGCTCTCGATAGATAGGGGAGAGACGGGCACATTCTGTCACTTTTTGATTATGAGTACCTATATTAAATTGACCGAATCTTCAATATAATCTGACTAAAATGATTATATTGAGCTAATGGTATCTATACCGATAGCTGCTGGTATCGGTTGACAAAGAGCTGTGATCGAATTTACCCGAATTTTTGCTATTTTGTCATTTTGTTCAGATTATACCTACCTATTGAGGATTCGGTCAATTTAACCCTCGCCCTGGCAGGGGGGGGGGTCGATGCGACCCCCCCCCCTAAGGTTTTTCGAAGATGGCGTAAAAACGGCGGCGCGCAGCGCGGCACAGCCTATGGGGCAACCTTTTTACATATGACCTGAAAATTTCAGGTCCGGGTGACCTTGGGTCAGGTCACCAGGTCAGAAAAACCGGTACAAGGTCATGGTCAAATTACAATTTTCTTTTTGCACCTGTCCAACTCACAGTTTTGCACTGATTTCCTTCAAACTTTCAGGATGTGCTAAGTTCACCGAGTTGTATAACATTTAGTTCGGGTTTTTTGAGGTCACTGACCTGAGGTCAGTTAGAGGTCATTACGTCGTAATGTTAAGCCTATGGGAAAATACTAAATTCGGAAAATACTGGAGATATCCGCTTCGTTCTATCACTTTTGTGCTTTGAAACCACAGTACTTAACAGCAGGTCACTTGGTGCTTCTTTGTTTGATGTACTTATCCATGGGTCAGGTCAAATGAGGTCAACTGAGGTCAAATGACGTTTTTGCCAATAACTTGGCACATAATGACGCTAGAGCTTAAAAATGGTATCATTGTGTTCCTGGTGATCAGCCGAATCGAATGATATGCGATATGATGCAATTTGGTTAACTTTAACTTAATTTATTAATTTAAGTTTACTTAAAATTTAAGAAAAACTTTAAGTACACTTAAGCAAGCTAAAAAGTATATCATTCGACGCGCCTTGACGTGCTGAGTTGACTGGTGCTTTTCTTTTTGCTCTATCTTAATTAGATCAAAAGTTATAAGCGAAAAACTTTTGACCTGTTCTTAGCGAAATTTTTACATTTATACCCCCCAAAACCCCCCTAAATATTGACCTAGAGCAACCAAATTTGCACAGAGGCGAGAACTCCAGGGGGCCCACCTACCTACCAAATTTGGTGTTTCTAGGTGCCATAGCAGCCAATCGCGAGGGGGGGGGGTCGCATCGACCCCCCCCCCCCCCTGCCAGGCCGTGTTATGAAAAATGCCCTATCAGGGCGAGGGTTAATATGATCATAAGCAATAAGCATCATGATGGTTTTCCTCACAACGCTAAACTCTCTAAAAAATCTGTCACTTTTTACAAAATTGGCTCCACGGCTCTAGTCCCATTATGTTCGAACTGCGAAGTTATTAGCAAAAAAGTAATTTGACCTTATTTGACCTCAGATGACCTGCCCTAAGTGTTTTTTTTTCAGCAAGTGAACATCGAATTCATCTTTAACCCTATTCCTGGCGGGGGGGGCCTCAGGAGCCCCCCCTGAGGTTTTTTGGTTATTTCTCCCAAACGCGTTGAGCTAGGAAGCTCAAATTTTCTGACTTTTCCTAAAAGGCTTCTACGCAACATGTCTGAAAATTTTGAGTTGATCTGACCTCAGGTCAGGTCACCAGAGGCGGTTTGGTGGTGACCCTACCTCAGAAAAGTTTGCAATCACGCCAGAGCTAGAGTTTTTGACCGATCAATTTCTTCTCTTCAGGGTTTAGTTAGGGTACCCGTATGTGCAATTTGTATATCTCGGAACTTTGATATCGGTGACCTAAGGTCAGGTCAATTTCGCGACCTCCCCATTATAAGTCAATGGGGGAAAAATCAACTCCCTGTTTTTACCACTAAAACGGGTCGGAATGGCCCCATATACCATACATGACTTCATATACGATCAACCTTCACTACCTTGAGGTCTGTTTTGCTGTTGGGCAGCTGTGAGGTCATGTGACGTCATCAAAGGTCACCAAAGGTTTTTGGCCAATAACTCCGTACAGGAACAAGATACAGACGCGTGGATGGTCTCATTGTGTTCAGCTCGTCAAGACGCATCGAATGATATACATGATGACCTCGAGGTCACGTGACCTGAGGTCAACCTTTGACCTTGACCTTTCGAGGTCAACATATATATCATTCGATGCGGATTGACGAGAGGATCACGATGATGCCCTTAGTTTGTTCCTATCTTGACTAATTCGAAAGTTATTCGAGAAAAACTCTCTCCATATCTAGCGCCGCCATTTTGACTTTTTCGACCCCTGTGACGTCATCTTTGACCTGACCTGAAAATGACCTTTGTAAAAATTGTAGATCTTGGCCGTGCGTATCCGATGCCGTTTACCGCTTGTCGCTATCTTGCTTCGTTCTCGAGATCTCAGGGGGGGGGCCGAATCGGCCCCCCCCCCGCCAGTTTCTTGTCCCGGCGGAGCCCGCCAGGAATAGGGTTAATGGAGCTAAAACAATACAAAAACGTTGACATGGAGTATTTTTGCCATTTGAATTATTCAGACAAATTTTCTTAAAAACTTGCGTGACCTCTAGATGACCTCAGGTCACCCGAAATTGAAAACCTGGATGTAGATTATACAACTCGGTGAGCTTAGCATACCGTGCCAGTTTGAATCAAATCGATGAACAACTCTAGATTTCATTGACAAAATAGCGCATTTTGATCGGTGTCATTTTGACCATGAACCGGTTTCTGTGACCTTGCGACCTGACCTGAGGTCACTGGAACACAAAACTCCTAGAACACGTGTCAAGTGGCTGTCTCAAGTTGTGGCTAAAGTTTGGTGGGCGGTGGCCCTTTATAACACGCGCACCGACGGGGGGCGGATATCCCCCCCCCCCCCCCGAGTTTTTAGCTGGAAAACCACGGCGCGTAGCGCCGCCAAATTTAGTACGACTATTCTCTCATCAATTTTACACATTGTGTGCAAGTTTGAACCTCCTAACTTTTAAGGTCAGGTCACCAGGTCACTTTGAATGACCCAACCTCAAGTCACTTTTTTGCAACTTTGTCACCGTGCCAGAGCTACAGTAGATGCCGGAGGCCTTTGAAAGTCGCAGTATGTTATTAGGTCATTAGTAGCTACAATTTGTATATCTCGGAACTTTGATGTCGGTGACCTAAGGTCAGGTTAATTTCTCGACCTCCCCATTACCTATAAGTCAATGGGGGAAAATCAACTCCCTGTTTTTACCACTAAAACGGGTCGGAATGGCCCCATATACCATACACTACTTCATATACGATCAACCTTCACTACCTTGAGGTCAGTTTTGCTGTTGGGCAGCTGTAAGGTCATGTGACGTCATCAAAGGTCACTAAAGTTTTTTTTGCCAATAACTCCGTACAGGAACAAGATACAGCCACGCAGATGGTCTCATTGTGTTCAGCTCGGCAAGACGCATCGAATGATATACATGATGACCTCGAGGTCACGTGACCTGAGGTCAACCTTTGACCTTGACCTTTCGAGGTCAACATATATATCATTCGATGCGGATTGACGAGAGGGTCACGATGATGCCCTTAGTTTGTTCCTGTCTTGACTAATTCGAAAGTTATTCGAGAAAAACTTTCTCCATATCTATCGCCGCCATTTCGACTTTTTTTACCCCTGTGACGTCATCTTTGACCTGACCTGAAAATAACCTTTGTAAAAATTGTAGAACTTGTCCGTGCGTATCCGATGCCGAGTGCGACACAATTATGAGTGCGACAAGTGGAACAGCCTAGCATTCCAGTCAACTGATAGCTTGTGAATGGTAAAACATTATTCTGTAGGGACCTCAGCGGAATCCTCGATTGACGATAATATTTACCGCAATATCTGAGCATACCAAATTCGTATACCTAATAACTTTATTTCTATCTATATTTTCACCAGTAACTGAGCACAAATATGGAGAATGAATCATTAATGGGCCATTTCCCGAACAATATTTTACTGGCGCCCTTCGGGCCACCATTTCGCATGTTCCCCATTAAAATGTGCCGAACCTTTACGCGCCGTTATGGAGCATGGCGTCACTGTCCAGAGTCCACCCAATCAGCGCGCCATAAATGTCTCCATAAATGTATCCGTCTGCAGCCGGCGATATAGACTGATATACATTATACGATGCACACACCGTGATCATTGGTGATGGGCGCGCAGCGAGCCCCGATGCCCGATGGCCCCGGCCCCGGTCTGCACAGCTCGGGCGCGGCGGCGGGTTTCCCTGCGGGGTCGGAATCAGGAATGGCAGGCTGGTCGGTGATTTTCCGTCACGGTTACGGTTTCACCGTGAGCTCAGTCCCGTCTCGTCTCACGACAGAGTTAATGACTGACCAATTGGCCACTGATAAAAGCCCTGTTCATCCACTCCGGCTCGTTAGGTGGCCATTTTCTCGGGGTGAACAGCAGTTAATCACTCATACCTTCATATTACTATTCTATTTTCACACCTATTTGTCTATGCTTAGGTAATCTTCATGCATCCGATAGACGATTTTAAATGAGTACCTACATATAAATTTGTCGTTAGTCGTTATATTAGTTTGCTGCCTATCACTTGCAACTTCTCCAAACAAGCTTGTGTGTCGCACATTCGACTTTCAAACATGAGACACCTCTGACCAAACAAGGCAGGTATTTACACGCACATATATGTAGAGTGGACAGCGGCAGACTCAGGTATCGATGTATTGGCTACTCTATCACTGCACCGCTTAGCATATACCACCGCACGATGGCACCGACTCTGGCAGCGGCGTATCCCATAGACTGAGTCATAGGTTTTACCTCTGTTTGGGGCTATATCGCCCGCCAATCAGCTGACGGACCATCAGCTAGGCTCGGTCACGTGGTCACCGGTGATTCAGTCCTCCCAACTTTTATAGCACAACTCTTTTGTCGACACCTGAGACATATTTTACGGCTTCTGATAGCCGATTTACCGCGGATATTGTAAGAGGATTTTATGACTCCCTTATTTGTAGCCAGATATACTCCATGTCTGGTCTAACTAAATAGGGGAGCAGAGTGCGGACAGTGGCCCAGACCTCGTGTCAGACCGTTAGGTTCAGTTGGTTCGCTTTCTGTTACACCGGCGACCGTTTTATCGCCGCCAGGTGCCGCCGACCCAGCTCCTTGCTCGCGTTAGTCCTGCTCCGCGGTCCGGCCCGGCGTCACTGCATACTAGGCGCCCGCTGAGGACAGTTCAGATAGAGCACCGTCCAGTACCGGGTGGCCATCTGAGCGGCCTGACCTGACCTGACCTGCCCGACCGCGAGGTACTTCTGACCGACTCCCGTACCGACAGCAGACGTTCAGCCGCGCTGTAACAATCGGCCAAAGGAGCGGCTATCTGATGACTCAAAAATGGGCAAATAGACCGAAAGGGCCTAGCCCACCAAAACAAGCGAATACTTCATTTTTCAGGTATTCCCTACAATTGGCCCTAATGACGATGTGAAGCTAGTCGGCAAAATGGTAAAATATTGTTTCTGCAACTTCGGTAGGTAGGGATGGGTACTGGGTAGGTATGGATTCGGAGGTACCTAACCACATAGGTACCCAACAATGCACGCATGGTTCCCCGCACATCTGAGCTTTTCCGGGCGGTGTGCACCTCTAGCGTCTGAGCCCTATCTTTCCTCTACATACGCACATAATGTAAGTACACTTAAACACACGGTGTTCGTTAAATTACCTTATGTTGCTAATGATAGAAGTTAAGTAGGAAACAAGGCACACGCATAATGCGTAGAGCGCACTGAATTTCCCACTAACGGCCCAGACGAATAACGGAGAAGTCTAATGATTCACCGTTTAGTGTGCAGCCGATCATGGTCGTTTGATTAGGTCTAGGAGACTGCATAAGGGGCCATTCAGCTCCCTGTGCACCGGCTGCTGACTGCAAACCGAGAGGCCGTCCTCCCGACCTGGTCAATGGTCATTTACTCACCGGCAAAATGGGGTAATGACACTTGTTAAAGGAAGCGAAGTAAAAAGTCACATTCTCAGCGGCCCATGTCGGCTAAAGTCGCTCCAATGCTAAATGACAGCCATAGCTGTGGCTTGCAGATGCTTGGCTTATATGGTTACCTAGCTGTTGGTACCTATAAGCCAAGGTACGTAATGAGTAGGTATAGGGGAGATCCGTGTAAGACGCCCAGGGTCGGTAAGAGGCCCCATCGCTTTTTTTACCAAACCAATAATGTTATTTATTTTTTAATGTTCTTGTAAAGCAGAAGCCCTCTTGAAACAACAACTCACGAAACCTGAGGTAGGTATCAGGTGCGTCGCAGCGCCTTTTGGTAAGCCTGTTTCTGTTTTTGCCCCTTTACTTGCTAGATATATGCATCTTTATCACCCTTATATATCTGAAAAAAACAATGACTATCAAATGCAATCTTATCTCATCGAAATTGTCACATGTTAGCTTCAGAATAGACCATGTTCTGGTGCGCTGCAAATGTCTCATAAACCATAAATATTGTGACGTGAAAACACTGCATTTTTTTAAGAGGCCCTCCCTTCGAGGATTATAAAACGCCCCCCCCCCCCCCCCCCCCGATAAAAAACGCCCCCGATGCTAAAACGCCTGCACCTGCGGCAGGCGTGGCATTCTTTTTTCAAGGAGTTTGTTTTTGTTTCTTTTTCTAGAGGTAATAGGTACAATTTTCGTTGGTCATCAGCGTTTGGTTGTGCTAGTTTTCGCATTGTTCGAGCGCTTTGGAAGTGTTATTGGTTTCGATAACACCGTATTTGCTTAGCTTTTCGAAATAAAAGGCCTTGCAGCTGTGTTCGCAAAACGTCTTTTACAAGTCGACTTGCCTTGTTAAACGCCCGAGGGGGGGCGTCTTACCATACCCATAGTGTAAGAGGCCCTTTTGCAACTTTTTCCAAAATGTTAAAGTTTACGGTTTGTGTACCCCCTAGATTCATTTTGAATGCAAATATGTATGGGAAAATGATGCATGCTCACAGCGCATGCACACGTTAGCTCTTAAATATTATCAGTTGTCTAAAAATAGCAACTGAGCTTAAGGGGGGGCCTCCTGCACCACTCTACCCAACCTAAAAATGTACCTAGCACCCTCTAAGGGCATCTACAATGCGTTCCAAATTTTTAAACGTACACCAAATTTTTGGTACCTACCTACCCGTCTATATATGCCGCGAGCAATTTTGTTTGAAAATAACTAGATCGTCCAGGGACCAATAATGACCATGTCCTAATCGAAGATGTTCTACTTGTTTCGTAAAATCTTCGAAGAAGTGAGCTTGATTAGGTATCCCCGTTGAATGAACGTCATTGTAGTTACCAGCCGTGCGTCGTCTGCCATATGTCATATCTACCTACATAATCACTCAAAAGTGACGGTCAATGATAATCACTTCAGGAAAGTTTCATCATTATGACATTCTGTCACAGTTCCTCAATCTGTTGCGACACAAACAGGGCCTGCGCAGGGCCCGGCGTCTCATTAGGTACCGCACCGACAGCCAGCCGGCGCCGGCGGCAGATCCTGGCGCGGCGCGGTCACCTGGGACGTCCGTCGGTCGGCCGCACAGAACAGAGTTCCTCCCAGCGACCACCGAGCGGGAAGGAAGGTGCTGTGCGCCGCGCTTCCTGCCGCGTTCCCCGGTAGGACGGCGCCGCAGCGCGGTGGGACTGGGGACGGAGCGAGCCGAGACTCCCTCGAACGGGGCACACTGCGGAGTGCGGAGGCCGCGCGATCGACACCAGCACTGAATCTGCAGCGTGGGTATAACCGACTGCCAATGGGCCTCCTCCCTTTCCCGAACCTTCAGGTCGATGTGCAATGTGAGATCCACCCTGATCTCCCCGGCTCAGCTGTGAGCTGCGCCCCTCTGACAGAGCCCAGTGGTGAGCTGCGCCCCTCTGACGGGGCCCAGTGGTGAGCTGCGCCCCTCTGACAGCCCCTCTCCCCGGCAGGATTACGCCGGTCGGGTCCGCCGCCGCCCTGCTCCGACCACTGCCTGCCCGGCCAGGACTGCCGCGTCGGACGGCGCAGCGGCCGCGTCTTCTGCCTCGGGGGACTGACGAGACTCAACGACGACGACGACGAGGTCACAGCCGGCGGCCGTCGCTGCCGGTGCCGCACGAAGAAGGGCAAACGCTGCCGGAGGCGCCGGTCCAGCTCCCGCTCCAAGTCCAGGTCACGCTCCAGGTCGCGGTCGCGCTCGAGATCGCCGTGTGTGTGCCTGTGTGACCGGGTCGCAGTGCGCGGCAGGCGCCCGGTGACGCCCCAGGTCGTGTACTCGGCGCGACTGGCGAGGTCGCCCACCTTCCCCGGGGCGGCGGCACACCGGTTCGGAGGGCCTCAGCCGTTCGGGGCGCCGCTCCGGCCGCCCATCTACCGGGAGCAGTTTCAGCGGCGACAGCAGCCCGCGTCCTACCACCAGCAGCAGCAGTACCACCAGCAGCAGCCTTACCAGCAGCAGCAGCCGTACCAGCCTCAGCTGCCGTACCAGCCTCAGCTGCCGTACCAGCCCCAGCAGCCTTACCAGCAGCAGCAGCAGCAGCCGTATGCCGGCCACCCGGCGCCGCAGAGCCAGCATCCCCCGTACGCCGGCGCCGGCCACCGCCCGGCGCCACCCGCCTACCCCCCGCCGTCGGCGGCGGGCGGTCAGCTGGTGCACGGGCCGGCGCCGCCGCCGCGGCCGGCCACCTGCGCCGACCTGGCCTGCCACGGCCGGCCCTGCCTGCTGGCCGCGCCCGGCCGGCCGCGCTGTGTCGATGTCGCCGAGCGCGGCCGGCCGAGGAACCGGTGCCGCTGCCGCCGCCGGCGGGGCGGCTCCAGCTCCGACTCCGACTCCGACTCCAGCTCGGGCTCCCGGTCCCGCTCCGGCGGCCGGCGCCGCTGCTACTGCGGCAAACGCAACAGGTCGAGGTCCAACAGCCGCTGAGAGACTCCGCCAGCCGCTGAGAGCTTGGGTGAGCCTCACTGAGCCTCGGTGAGCCATGTGAACCTCTGAGAGCCTCAGCGAGCCTCTGGGAGCCGCTGAGAGCCTCGGTGAGCCATGTGAACCTCTGAGAGCCTCATTGAGCCTCTGAGAGCCGCTGAGTCTCACTGAGTCTCTGAGAGTCTTGGTGAATCTTGGAGCTTCAGCGAGCCTCCGAGAGTTTCGGTGAGCACCAGTAAGCCTCTGAGACTCAGTGAGCCTCTGAGAGACTCAGTGAGCCATGGAGAGAGGGAGGCAGGAGGAGAGAGGGAGGAGTGCTGTGCAGGAGAGCAGAGAATCAAAAGCCCAGTGCAGCTAGATGTAGCCCGAGTCTGTTACACAGAGGGAAGTGACAAAAAACGCACCGTGTCGCCACTGCCTACACCGTCCGACGTCGGTGGGAAACAATATAAGGAAAACTATCGAAATGACCGCGGCGTGCCTTTACCATCAATGTCGATACTGTTGAAGGGCTTCCGCTCGGTCCAAGTGTATCAGATGACCCGCAGAGTGTAGAGATTGTCTTTGTTTTCGGGAGCTGCGTTAAAACTAGACAATGAAATGCGGAATGGTATGATTATATACTATATGTTGTTGTTGAGCTAGGACGGATTCATGGGACACCAGCTTTGACCGGTCCCCTGCGGAACGGTCACTGCTGACCGGCCCCTGTGGGGCGTCCCCTGCGGAACGGTCACTGCCATTAGCTAGGTCGGGACCCGAGCAGCATCGGGGAACGGGAGCTTGGGACCGAGCACTGTAGCAGCACGGGACCCGAGCAGCATCGGGGAACGGGAGCACCGGGACCGAGCACTGTAGCACGGGACCCGAGCAGCATCAGGGAACGGGAGTTCAGAACAACGGAGCACCGTTACAGTGCGTTACCACACTTTACCATCAGATTGGCAAGGAAACTGAATAAAGGCGTCGCAGAGCCAACAGATCAGCATACAATGAGCTACGTGAAATAAAATGGCACACAAAGCGGCAAACACTTGCCAGTCGTGCCAGGGGAGAATACTGTGCGAAGCATGCCAGCTCAGATTTGCCGTATACCTCGAGCCGGCGACTTGAGACGCCACATCACATACAAACTGTTACGTCAAGACGAACGCTGCTACTGCTAACTACCAGCAACGAAGGCTAACCGGAAAAAACGGTAGCGATTCCGGCGGAATTCCCTCAAACTTGTCAGATTTCCGCCAATATGACTTCGATTCAACACTGGATCACTTCCAGAAAATGGCCAGTAGACAATGCTGACAATATTAACTAATCTCACAGCTAAATCAGCGTAAGGACTTGCGTGGTAAATCACCCCCTGATAGAGCGGAGAATCTGTGTCGAGCTGCGGGTGACGGTGCCGAGCCCAGTGGTATGGTGAGGGGCACCGCTCCCCTCTGCGACCCCAGTGGTATGGTGAGGGACACCGCTCCGTGCTGCGACCCGAGCGATAGGCTTCCATCCACGGCCCCAGCTGGGAGACATAGTCATCCGGTCTGTCAGTGTGTATTGACGGGGACACGACCCGGCCTGACCGCCGAGGGAGGGCGGCACCCCGACACACGCCCCACGACTAGCACCCAGACTAGCGAGGACACGCGCACTTCCACTGACGATAACACCAGGTGACACCGCACGCCGGCTGGTGCTGACCCCCCCCCCCCCTGCGGCGATCAACCCCCCCCCCCCCCCGTGTGACGACTGTGCGGCGTGGAACACAACAGACGAGGAGCCGCGGTGTACTGCAGTCTGAGCTGCCCTGGTGCGGTACATAGTGGGAGGTGACGCCCACGACTCAACCCATCGGCTCAGACACACTGTGGCAGAAACGCATACACGATATCCGGCAGGGGCGCGACACATGGTAAGTAGGTGAGCAGATACACGGGTTAGGGCAGAGAGCATATACGCCACTCGTCTGAGACGCGCTAAACAAGGATCACAATCAGCGGTCACGGCTACAAAAACAAACATACAGTATCACACCGCCCGCGACAACAGGCGGTTCCCCTGCCGGCTGTACGCTCCACGTCCCGACTAAGTAGTGGTTTTGTGAGGGATGCGGCCCGTGTATACAGCGGACGCCGAGCGGACGGCTGGTTCCCCAAACGGCCGCCAGGGGCGCGGCAGTGCCCGGGTCGGGAGTCGGGACACCACGCGGCGTCACACAGGCATGTTTAAAAGGTGGATACAACTTGAATGTCGGGCAATATAACAAACACAAAACATACACTGAACCAGGTACACGCAGCAGAGCCATGTCCGTGCTAGATCGATACTTTGACACGCGGTCATGACGTCATAAAAGTATAAAAATATCACGTGCTCGGTGGCAGATGGCGTTACGGTATGAGCGACACTGGACTCCACTGAGAACCAAACTCCGACGAGGCGCCGAGTCCGGTCAGCTGCTCGGCGACTCGGGCTACAGGGACGTATTCTGTGGGTCCGAACCACGCACGATGCCATCACGAGCACTAACATATAATGGGGAGAACATAATGGGGAGGGCAGTTCCGCAGTCCCGGGAGGCAGTCATCACAGCATAAATACTAAAAGTGCCAACACAATACTGTCGGTCCCCCGTCCAGTGACCAGTGCTAAAAGCCCCGCTCGGCACGGCAGCCGCCTGCAGCCGCTCCGTCCGGCAGCCGACTGCGCCTGCAGCCGCTCCGTCCGGCAGCAGACAGCGGCTGCAGCCGCTCCGCCCGGCAGCCGACTGCAGCCGCTCCATCCGGCAGCAGACTGCAGCGCCTGCAGCCGCTCCGCCCGGCAGCCGACTGCAGCGCCTGCAGCCGCTGTAACCAGCAGCCGGCTGCAGCCGCTCCGTCCGGCAGCCGCCTGCAGCCGCTCCGTCCGGCAGCCGACTGCGGCTGCAGCCGCTCCGTCCGGCAGCCAGCTGCGGCTGCAGCAGCTCCGTCCGGCAGCCGACTGCGGCCGCTCCGCCCGGCAGCCGACTGCGGCTGCAGCCGCTCCGTTCAGCAGCCGACTGCGGCTGCAGCTGTCAGAGAGCGCCGCAGCCTCGCGTGCTTCCCCTCACCCCGCCCCCCGCCGAGCCCCGACTCTCTGCCTCCGTGTGGGTCGGCCGCTGAGCAGCCGCCGCGCGCCGCCCCGGCCCGGTCATAAGCCGTTGGAGCAGACGGCCGGTCGCCGCCGCCGGCCGCACGGTCGGCCCCGGCAGTAGCGGCACAGCCGGTTGAAGGCCCGCAGCGCGGCCAGGTCGCGGTCCGAGGGCGCCACCACCACACTGGGCAGGTAGGCGGCGGCCGGGCTCGGTGACGGGCCGGGGACCTCCTGGCGCGTCTCGTGGCGCGTACAGTTGGCCGAGGTGGCAAACAGTCTGTCAGAGGGGAGGGCGGGGCGGCTCAGCAGTCAGCGCCCAGCGGGGAGCGTCGTCAGCGAGACTGGCCGACCGCATTCCCAACTGCTACTAAAATGCATTCTCCTCGAACACATATTTAACTGAGATAATTAATGCCTATTACGGTAAAATGCAAAGAATTTATCAAATGAAAACGGAAATTGAATTTACCAAATGAAAATGGAATGATAAAAGTGGAACATTACCAATGACCGCGAATATATGTACATTAAAACGTAGGGCAATTTATCAACACAACTACAAATATCCTCGGTATAAAAGTAACCACCACTGATCGGGGTGACAGTGCGGGACAGACGCCATCCGACAGGTACCAGGTGCAGCTGCCGGGCGTTGGGTACCGACCTGGGCAGCTGCTCGGTAAAAACAGGTACCAGGTGCAGCTGCCGAGCGTTAGGTACGGGAGAGTGGGGCACATTCGTGCATGGGGCATTGGGGCACATTCGTTTTCAGCAGTTTATGGGAACACGAGTGACTGCACGAGCTCAAGGTAAATTATGGAAATATGTCTATCATTGCCGCCCTTCGTTCACCGTAGAAGACAACACTGTATAGTCGACTACAGAATGATGTTCCACTCCTCAGAAGCTATCATCAGTTGACCGGAGCGCTAAGTTGTGCCGTTTTTATCACGCAATTAAGCGTGTCGATTGTGAGCATTGGGAGTTGGGACAAAGCTATAATTTGTGAACTCAGCCCGTGTGATGCGGCACAGCCTACCACTCCAGGCAAATAATTGCCTGTGAAAAGTGGAACATCATTCTGTAGTCGACTATACCTGCTGTCATGCTTGATAAAAACGCAAATTTGTAATAATGTGCGCTTTCCAAACCTTTCTCATATCATCCATTTTCGTGATCGTGACTCGGAAATGTGGTTCAGCTTTTCAAAATTGGGGGCGAAGAAGCTCACCCTATTCACGGAATCGCTGCAAACGTGTTTGTTAAAAAAGTGTCATTTTTTCAACAAGAAATTTTGAAATATATTACAAATAACGTTGTGGGGCAGGTTCGTGTAAGCACTGCCTAGGGGCACATTCGTGCATTTTTTTTCGTTTTTGCGATTTATGACTTTATCTGTAGTAGGTTTCACTAATGACGCTCGCCTGACTCAGTCTCGGCTGCTTGCGACCTCGTGGCAAGTAATTCACGCGACCTTGGCGAGGTCACGGAGGCCGGCAGATGCCACATTCTTGTTGGCCAGCCCATTTTTTCTACATACCTAAGTTGTGCATTAGTGCAATGCATTCTTGTCGAAAGGAATCAAGTGAAATGACCCCCTGTCAATTTCCTTTGGTAAATTTCTGGTAATGCCCGGTAATTGCTCGAACTTTGTAGCAGGGCTGCGGAGTCGGAGTCGGAGTCGGTCGGAGTCGACAGTTGTGACCGGAGTCGGAATCGGAGTCGATTTTAGAAACCCGAGCCGGAGTCGGAGTCGGAGTCACCGAAAATCTGCCGACTCCGCAGCCCTGCTAGGTCTGCGTAGTCGGAGTCGGGAGTTGGAGTCGGTCGGAGTCGACAATTCTGCCCGGACAAACACGAGCAAGGTCTACTCGCCAAGACCACCTCTACCACTTACCGCGACCCCGACTAGAGACCGGAAAACGTAGATTCGCCTACCGTGCCGCGGCGCTCCTAAATACTCTCCCCCTCGAGCTAACGCAGTTGCCTCCAGCCAGATTTGCCCGTGCTGTAAAAAAGGAGCTTAAGCCTAGCCAGAGTAGCCATAGTAGCTAGCCTCATGACTCTTGGACTATGAAAGGCAAACGAGTCTGTGTGTATAGTTATGAACGCGGCTTCGTGCGGGTTACACCAAGTATGTGCGTGTTCGGCGTTCGCGTTGTGCATTTTCGTATCCGTAAGTGTGTGCGTTTTCTTGTATAGGTATTTCTTGTGTTATCTTCAACCAGCTCGGACTCGGAGTGTAATCGCCACGCCGATTGTGGATTGCTCTTGATCGTCAATACATACATACATACATACATACCGGAGTCGGAGTCGGAGCTGGTTTTTGAAAGCCGGAGTCGGAGTCGGAGTCAGAGTCGCCGAAAATCCATCGACTCCGCAGCCCTGCTTTGTAGGGTGCACGGAAGTGCCCCACCCCTTGCACGAAAGTGCCCCATAGGTGGGGCAGTTTCTTGCAAACGTTCGGAGTTAATAAAAGTCATTTTTTCTAACAGAAGCAATAATTTTAGAGGATAACTTTTAAGAAGGAAAAAATATCTGCAATAGTTCCTTTATACTAAAATTAACAATTTTGCCGTTGCACTAACCAAAGAACAGATATATGGATGTATCCATTTTTTTTTTTTTGCACGAATGTGCCCCACTCTCCCCTACCGACCTGGGCAGCTGCTCGGTAAAAACAGGTACCAGGTGCAGCTGCCGGGCGTTAGGTACCGACCTGGGCAGCTGCTCGGTAAAAACAGGTACCAGGTGCAGCTGCCCGGCGTTAGGTACCGACCTGGGCAGGTGCTCGGTAAAAACAGGTACCAAGCGCAGCTGCCGGGCGTTAGGTACCGACCTGTTGAGGCTGCGGACGGTGATGGGCAGCTGCTCGGTACCGACCTGTTGAGGCCGAGGGTACGGTGATAGGCAGCTGAGCTCGGTACTGACCTGTTGAGGCCGCGGACGGTGACATGCAGCTGCTCGGCCAGGATCCCCGTCACGTACACGTCGTCGATCCAGAAGAACGGCACCACGGTCGACTGCATGACCAGGGCGCGCGCCACGTCCTGACTGGCGATGTACAGCCAGCCTGGAACAAAACAGCGAGATAGGCACTGAAATCAGCAGCCAGCCTGGAACAAAACAGCGAGATAGGCACTGAAATCAGCAGGCAGCCTGGAACAAAACAGCGAGACACGCACTGAAAACGTGCCACAGTGCGCACAGTAAACCAACAGTAGCGCACGGATAGCCATGAACCATCAATATAGGCGCTAAAGTCGAGCATTGGCACCAGTCACGAGATCAAAGACCAGCGTCCCACATCCGACTGGAAGAGCTGCATCCGCAAGGTAGACTGGCGGTATCACTAGCATCACCGAGGCGGGAAATGTCGTCCACACCTGACACGTAGGGCGGGTAGTGTCCGTCCGTACCTGACACGTAGGGCGGGTAGTGTCCGTCCGTACCTGTCACGTAGGGCGGGTAGTATCCGTACCTGACACGTAGGGCGGGTAGTGTCGTACCTGACACGTAGGGCGGGTAGTGTCGTACCTGACACGTAGGGCGGGTAGTGTCTGTACCTGACACGTAGGGCGGATAGTGTCTGTACCTGACACGTAGGGCGGGTAGTAGCGTTTGTACCTGACACGTAGGGCGGGTAGTGTCCGTCCGTACCTGACACGTAGGGCGGGTAGTAGCGTTTGTACCTGTCACGTAGGGCGGGTAGTGCCCGTCCGTACCTGACACATAGGGCGGGTAGTGTCTGTACCTGACACGTAGGGCGGGTAGTGTCCGTCCGTACCTGACACGTAGGGCGGGTAGTACTGGCGCGGCCAATCGGCGCGGCTGACGCGCCACTTTGAGTTGCCGCGGTAGGGCGCGGCAGCCGGGAACACGTTGCCGCCCAGGTAGCGGGCGGACGGCACGAAGTGCAGCACCTTCACCAGCTCGTACACGTTGTACACGATGTCGTCGTCCATCTTGATGATGTGTCTGCGGGAAGAGAGTGATTTAATGTTGAATTTTCCCTGATTGTGAGACTTCTAAAATCCGATTCAAAATAATATGTTCCTCAGAAATGATGTTCAAATAATGTAATTCATCGGTGACTTCATCACGCCATCCGAGGACGGCTCTCACCTGGCCTGGGGACAGAAGGTGATGGCCCAGTCCAGTGCCATGATGTGCTTGTAGGTGAGGTTGTGGTAGGAGTCGTGGAAGTTTCCCTGCACCACGTCGCCGTGTAGGGCGCTCTCCTCTGCTATCTCCAACTGTAGGGGGGGGGAGGGCGACGCTGCGTGAGAGGGCATCAGCGGCGGGATTCACCGGGTCGGCCTCCAAAGGCAGACCTCCTACAGACTCTAAAGCTCTTACCACACAAATAACAGAACTTCTCCCGTGACCCCCTCCCCCTCCCCCCACACACACACATCAGTTCGCTTCCACTGCCCAGTTCCGCAGCTCTGCTGGCTCGCTCGCTCACCACCTCTCGGTGCGTCCCTGCTCCCAGTATCATCGGCCCGCCGCTATCTCGCTCCCCACCCGTCCAGCAGTCCTCACCTGCGCTATGGTGACCTCGTCCTCCCGCAGCCTGGTGGACGCCTCAGCCAGCATGAAGGCGCGCCGCAGACCGAGTTGGGCCAGCTCGGCTGCCGGCAGCGAGTCCCTGATGGCCTGGCGCACCTCCGGGCGGCGCGGGTCCGAGTGGACCACGATCACGGCCCGCACCTCCTCCTCGCCACCACACACGGGACTGTTCAGCAGGTACTCGAAGCTGTCGTGGTAGGGCAGCACGGTCCGGGCGCCGGCCGCCGCCGGCAGGGGCGCCTCGGGCGGCCGCAGCTGCCGGGAGAGCAGCAGCAGCGCCAGCCCGGCGGCGCCGACCAGCGCCACCAGCAGCCGCCGCCAGCCGCGCGGCGTCGGCATGGCGCCGCCTGCAGCCGCACAGAGACAGTGAGGACACCGAGACACTAACGCCACCTGCAGCCGCACGGTTACAGTGACTATGTTACAGTTAGTATGCGAAATCCGTTAGGTTGCAACGTAACTAGTCACGTTGCAAACTAACTGACCATTCAGTTACTTTGCAAACTAACTAATTAGGAAACTTTGTCCTCTCCGTGGCCGAGTGAATAAAAGCGCCAAAATTCGACGCTTAGCCGGAAGTGAGAGCTCGGTTAAGCCCCGGTGCGGGCGGCCACATTTAGCTCCTACGTGTAATGGCGTGCGTGTCTGTGGCAGGGGCCGCACAGAAGCCAGGTAACGTGAATGAGCGGAGGGGACCGTGTCCAGTTGTGAGGGCACGTTCAACATTTGGACACAAAATTCTGTCATACAACTGGAATTGCACGATCGGGTGGTGGGGTCAGGGTCAGCACAACAAGCTATGCTTAGTGCGGGCTCTGATTCCTCAAATCCGCCCATTCAGCCATTCGAACTAAATTTATAAAAAAGGATGCAAACTACCTAGGTACATTGCAATGGAACTAGTTATGATGCGAAATGGATGGCTCAGTGGCAATAATTATACATCTACTCCAATTTCCAATGTTCAGTCACGGGTTGTTAGCGCGAAGTTCTGTGATTGTCCCAAGGGTTGCGCTCAACATTTCTATTGGTTTAAGCCGCGCCGAGCCGGTGCTTGGCGCCAAACGCGCCAGGCCAAGGGTGTTTGAACGACCCCTCTAATTTGGCTCCTGGGCCAGGTAGTGACTCGCGGTGAGCGGCATCCGAAAGAGCGTCAAAGATCATCAAGGAAGCACTCGGTCATTTCTTGGGTCAGTTCAAACTAGGCTGAATCTGAAAACAATGGTGAAATTGGCAATATTTGACCTTTAATGACATTCGTTGACTCGACTTAATCATTATTTTGATTCACAGGTAATGTTAACAGATGGGCAACATTTGCTTGCAAGAATACAGCATCTATCTTGCTATCATTCCCATTTAGTGATATCCTCAGCACCACAACAGATACCTATAGCGTTGTTGTACTTTACCTTCACTACATTTGATGACAATTCACAATTTTTAAATGTCAAGAATACAAAACTGAAGCAACAGGTAAAACCATATAATAAGTATAAAAGCACTACAACAATGAATATTAGGGGTTTGAAAATTTCATTTTACCATTTTACACAAATATAACTTGTTTAGTATGCCATTCTGATTTGGATGGTCACTTTAACTTTACCCAATGACAAATCATGGCGTAAGCATCACCTACCTTCTTGTTAGAATCCTTGTCCTGCAACAGACATTTCAATTTCAGTTTGTGCCAGTGCGTTCGTGGGTTACACAAATTCTACATGTTATATGGCTAGTCTTGAAGGACTTCAACTCGTATGTAGTAAGGGGGCGTTTTGAATTCAGACTATAGGTCAATTTCTTCCAAATCAATTTTAGAGGTTAGTGCCCTTGGTTAGTGCCAGAGTTAGTGCCTGCCTTGTTCAGTGCTTTACTCCACTGAACTCTATAGGGGAGAGTGGGGTGGGTTGTATCAGTTTTTACTCCGAGACCCATAACCTCGTAACTATCCGTGATAAACTCATTATTTCCATACTATCTCCTTCCTTGATTCTTCTGCTTTTTTGTGCAAAGTAACTTTTCCGCTACCTCTACCAGTTTTTCTTCTACGGTCTGCCGAATAGAACAATGTTTTTAATACAACTTGCCCCATGGCTTGGGTGAGTTGTATCACATAGTGGGGTAATTTGTATCACTATTTCACGTTTCAGGGAGTGTGCTTGCTACTGGTTTTGAACATAGTAACAACATTAAATGGGGTTAATACAATGTATATGCTCAAAGGCTTCCCTTTTATTAGACCAAACTTAGGTCAATCCGAACGAAACATCGAAACGAACGAAACATCAACAGCCTAGACGCAAAAGTGGCCCGTTTAGAGCAAAGAAGCCAACACATTGTGCCGAAATGGAACGAGTATTGACTAGCTACCTACAAACGCGAGCCAGGGCTTAGCTTTCGCGATCAAAAGCAACATACCCATACATACATACATACATACATGTTACAACATACCCCACCCGGCTCTGATACAACATGTACCTCGCCGCCATCTTGGAAAAAACATCCTCGTGCTCAAAAACAGCGGAAAGCTGGAGAAATCCATTTTCAATCACGCAGCCTTAGAACCTACCCTCACCACCGCTACGGAGATCTTTCAAATTCGTGCACATCTAAATGCCCAAAACACACATTTTCTTGCAGCTTATTTTTTTAGAATGACATTAAAAAACATAAAATCGGCTCTCACCTCAAGACGCGTCCACCCAGCCACACGACAGAACAGGGAAAGATGGCACCCGGAAAACCTCGTCGGCTGGTCGTGTCACGAGCGCCATCCATTGGATAAGTTTGACACAATTAGCCCTGATACAACTTGGACATGATACAACTCTCCCCGCTCTCCCCTAATGCTTTACTCCCAGTATTTTGTAACTGTTGCGTGCTATTTGCCGCAGATACCATGTCCGTGAAGTTAGCGTCAGCAACAGCAACGAATACAGCGTCGGATTCAGAATCGCTTAAAAAACTCATATTAGGTCAATTGGGGGACGGGGAGCAAGAATATGACCTTTATTTGGCCCTAGCTCTTACCCCTTACCCCTTAATCGGCCCTTAAAGGACGGGGCGCGTCAAAAGTGCCTCAAGGGTTCGTCTGATCGCCAAAATAAGGGTCGCAATCGATTCCCCGGGTCAACATCTAGCCGCAGCCTCGAGTTCCAGATGTGTGCAACTTACCCCTTACCCCTTAATCGGCCCTTAAAGGAAGGGGCGCGTCAAAAGTGCCTAAAAGGTTCGTCTGATCGCCAAAATAAGGGTCGCAATCGATTCCCCGGGACAATATCTAGCCGCAGCCTCGGGTTCCAGATGTGTGCAACTTACCCCTTACCCCTTAATCGGCCCTTAAAGGAAGGGGCGCGTCAAAAGTGACTCAAGGGTTCGTCTGATCGCCAAAATAAGGGTCGCAATCGATTCCCCGGGTCAATATCTAGCCGCAGCCTCGGGTTCCAGATGTGTGCAACTTACCCCTTACCCCTTAATCGGCCCTTAAAGGAAGGGGCGCGTCAAAAGTGCCTCAAGGGTTCGTCTGATCGCCAAAATAAGGGTCGCAATCGATTCCCCGGGTCAATATCTAGCCGCCGCCTCGGGTTCCAGATGTGTGCAACTTACCCCTTACCCCTTAATCGGCCCTTAAAGGAAGGGGCGCGTCAAAAGTGCCTCAAGGTTTCGTGTGATCGCCAAAATAAGGGTCGCAATCGATGCCCCGGGTCAATATCTAGCCGCAGCCTCGGGTTTCAGATGTGTGCAACTTACCCCTTACCCCTTAATCGGCCCTTAAAGGAAGGGGCGCGTCAAAAGTGCCTCAAGGGTTCCTCTGATCGCCAAAATAAGGGTCGCAATCGATTCCCCGGGTCAATATCTAGCCGCAGCCTCGGGTTCCAGATGTGTGCAACTTACCCCTTACCCCTTAATCGGCCCTTAAAGGAAGGGGCGCGTCAAAAGTGCCTCAAGGGTTCGTCTGATCGCCAAAATAAGGGTCGCAATCGATTCCCCGGGTCAATATCTAGCCGCAGCTTCGGGTTCCAGATGTGTGCAACTTAACCCTTACCCCTTAATCGGCCCTTAAAGGAAGGGGCGCGTCAAAAGTGCCTCAAGGGTTCGTCTGATCGCCAAAATAAGGGTCGCAATCGATTCCCCGGGTCAATATCTAGCCGCAGCCTCGAGTTCCAGATGTGTGCAACTTACCCCTTACCCTTTAATCGGCCCTTAAAGGAAGGGGCGCGTCAAAAGTGCCTCAAGGGTTCGTCTGATCGCCAAAATAAGGGTTGCAATCGATTCCCCGGGTCAATATCTAGCCGCAGCCTTGGGTTCAAGATGTGTGCAACTTACCCCTTACCCCTTAACCTTCGCCCTGGTGGGGGGGGGGCCATTTTGGCCCCCCCCCCCTGTGGTTTTTCAGCGATAACTCAGAAACCACTTGAGTTAGCGCCCTGAAACTTTGTATAGCTGTTTATTCAACATTTTTACATCATGTCCTTTTTTTGGGGGTTCGGGTCAGGTCAGGTCAGGTCACAAGGTCACCAAAACTGACACCACCTCTAAAAAAGTTCAAAGCTCTCTCAAAGGCACAGCTTTTATCCGATCGATGTAAAATTTACAGTACTTGAAGATGTCACCCAGCTCTACAAAATGGCTATCTCGGATTTTTTATAAATGTGACCTAAGGTCAGGTCAGGTCATCGCTGCTCCCCATTATAAGTCAATGGGAGAATCGAAAAGTAGTTGTTTTTCAGCTAAATCGGGCGTGATTGTTCCTATATTTCGTTATTGAAGTGTCTTGGGTCAGCAAATCACAGCCCATGTGAAACCATTTGCTTGTGACCTCGCTGAGGTCACGCTAGGTCATCTCCCTGGTCACCAGAGGTCACCAGCGGTTTTTCTGCACTTACTTGTTATTGAATAGAGATAGAGACTCCGTTCGACGTTTATCGTGTTTGTCTCGTCAATGCGGATCGAATGATATGCAGCATGACCTATTTCGGTAAGGTCATGACCTTGACCTGAGGTCAAATTTTCAAAATGACCTTTCGAGGTCAAACTATATATCATTCGACGCGTCTCGACGAGCCAAGCACGATGGTGCATGAATCGTTTCTCTATTTTCTCGTGAATGCATGCTATAGTTAAAAACATTTTCAACGAAATTTGCCAAGTTGACCTTGCATGACCTCTGTAGGCCAAACCGTTGAGCTGAGGTCAAATCTGACGAACCTTGGCGAAAGAGCTTGAAAAGAGCTATCGATTGCTTTTTTCCGCGGCTCTCTAGCTCTTCTAGTTTCCGAGCTACAGCGGAATATGTCCGGCAACACCGAAAACACTGAAATTTGACCTATGATGACCTCTAGCGACCTCAATATTGACCTTAGCGAAAAAATGACCGAAATACTTTCGAACGTACTTGTTATGGGCTTTCGTTTGCTTTTTTCCGCGTCTTCCTAGCCCTCTTCGTTTTCGAGTTAGACGGGGGGGGTCATTTTGGCCCCCCCCACCAGGGCGAAGGTGGCTCAGACCCACACCAGGGCGCGGGTTAATTGGCCCTTAAAGGAAGAGGCGCGTCAAAAGTGCCTCAAGGGTTCGTGTGATCGCCAAAATAAGGGTCGCAATCGATTCCCCGGGTCAATATCTAGCCGCAGCCTTGGGTTCCAGATGTGTGCAGCTTACCCCTTACCCCTAATCGGCCCTTAAAGGAAGGGGCGCGTCAAAAGTGCCTCAAGGGTTCGTCTGATCGCCAAAATAAGGGTCGCAATCGATTCCCCGGGTCAATATCTAGCCGCAGCCTCGGGTTCCAGATGTGTGCAACTTACCTCTTACCCCTTAATCGGCCCTTAAAGGAAGGGGCGCGTCAAAAGTGCCTCAAGGGTTCGTCTGATCGCCAAAATAAGGGTCGCAATCGATTCCTCGGCTCAATATCTAGCCGCAGCCTCGAGTTCCAGATGTGTGCAACTTACCCCTTACCCCTTAACCCGCGCACCGACGGGGGGGGGGGCGGATATCCGCCCCCCTGAGGTTTTTCGCAAATAGCGGGAAAACCGCGGCGCTAGCGCCGCGAAATTTGGTACGACTATTCCCTCATCAATTTTACACATGGTGTGCAAGTTTGAACCTCCTACCTTTCAAGGTCAGGTCACCAGGTCACTTTGAATGACCCAACCTCAAGTCACTTTTTTGCAACTTTGTCACCGTGCCAGAGCTACAGTAGATGTTGGAGGCCTTTGAAAGTCGCAGGATGTTATTAGATCATTAGTAGCTACAATTTGTATATCTCGGAATTTTGATATCGGTGACTTAAGGTCAGGTCAATTTCGCGACCTCCCCATTATAAGTCAAAGGGGGAAAAATCAACTCCCTGTTTTTACCACTAAAACGGGTCGGAATGGCCCCATATACCATACATGACTTCATATACGATCAACCTTCACTACCTTGAGGTCTGTTTTGCCGTTGGGCAGCTGTGAGGTCATGTGACGTCATCAAAGGTCACCAAAGGTTTTGGCCAATAACTCCGTACAGGAACAAGATACAGACGCGTGGATGGTCTCATTGTGTTCAGCTCGTAAAGACGCATCGAATGATATACATGATGACCTCGAGGTCACGTGACCTGAGGTCAACCTTTGACCTTGACCTTTCGAGGTCAACATATATATCATCCGATGCGGATTGACAAGAGGATCACGATGATGCCCTTAGTTTGTTCCTTTCTTGACTAATTCGAAAGTTATTCGAGAAAAACTCTCTCGATATCTAGCGCCGCCATTTTGACTTTTTCGACCCCTGTGACGTCATCTTTGACCTGACCTGAAAATGACCTTTGTAAAAATTGTAGATCTTGACCGTGCGTATCCGATGCCGTTTACCGCTTGTCG